CCGTGCCCCCCGCCGCACCACCCCGCGGCAGCCGTTAGCTCGGAGGGGCGCTCCGTCCCTTCTCGGACGGACGCAGGGCGAGGGGCACAGAGGTGGAGAGAAGAAGGGGGGAAGCTTTACGTCTACGGTAACTAGTATTAGTTGCACTACTCCACTACTGCTACCCAGCTGCTAACTTACACGGTGCACGGTTAAGTACAAAGGGAACTACTGGAGTTAGCAAAGGCTCCGACCGAGCACGCTCTAACTCCAATGTCTGCCCTGGGCTGTCCCAGGCAAGAAGCTTCTCTTCACAAGACTGTGTAGCTGCAAAACAAATGTAAGCATTAACATAATAAACAAACAAAAACCAGAAAGCAAAATAAAAACCAACAAAGAAGTACAAACACACACAGCCCCAACCCCGGCGGGCACACAGAGACATCCACATCCCAGCAACCTCTACCCGCTCTCCTGCCTCTGTCACACATCAGCTGGGCTGGACGCTGCTCAGAGGGGACCACCCTGGCACTGGTGCAGAAGACCCCTCAGAGCACAGTAGGAACCGCACTAATGCTGCTGGAGGTAGTTTGAGGGTGACCTAAAACACTGGTCGGAGTAGTGACAGAGCAGCACGAGGGCAAGTACGAGATGTGAGTGAACGGGAAGGAAAGTAGGGCATCAAATCACTGCAAATCTCAACTCGGAGGGGAGCGGGGTGGGAGAATGCTGCCCCACTTGGCAGAGAAGTGATTTGGCACTCCTCAGCGTACCAAGCAGGGCCTTGCTATGAGCAAGAGGAAGGAGTTAATAAGAAAGCAGTGATGGACAGTTCACAGCAAAAAGGACTTCAGAAGAGATCATTTCCCTTCCGTTCTGGCTAGGCAAAACACCTTTCCCACTGCACCTCACAAACCAGCAGTTAGACATAATTAGAGCCACTTCAAAAAAAAGTAGCAGAGAGTCTCTGACTGCTGCATCGTACGAGATACTGGTGCTGTGTGCAGGAAACCAGGGAAGGAAAACAGGAGACAGAAGAGGGCATGCCTGTTCCTTCCTTCCCAGACTGACCTGAACAGAATCAAGTATTTCAGACGTTCCCAACTCACATTAAGGATCCTTCCATTATAGCTTTAAATAGTCAGGCAGCTAGTACAGTACGTCTGTGTAGGGGAAAGGCTGGGAATCCCACCTAGACATTCTCTAACCTACTAGCTTTTTTCATATCCATTTTCAGAGTTTTTCAGCCACAGGCTCCTCTATGGAGGCAGCCAATTCAGGAGAGATCAGGCAGATGGTACCATAACTGGCAGACTAACCATGGTACCAGCTAACTGAGCTAGCAAGACAGACACGCAAGGTAAAGCCCTTCAGAGCAAACGTTATCCAAGGATTTTCACTGAGAGCACCTCACAATGGATTCAGAAATGCTGAGGGGTCTTCCAGCAGCCACAGCCTCCTTTCCAAAGCATCCTTGAAGCAGTTTATAAAAACTGTTTTTCATTCCTTTTGTACTTCCCGAGCACCATCCATGTCTGGGGTGCTCAGAAGTTCTTGACAAGCGAGAGTGAATTTAGCCTCAAACATCCCCTCCATAAGCAGACCTGCACCACTGACCCCATTTACCATAAGGACAACTAAGAGATGCAGTGACTTGCCTGAGGAAACCCCGAAAGGCATTGTCTCTGCAGAGAACTCCACGTCTTGCCCAGATGAAAGGGAATGAAATTAGCTAGGATGAGGTTCTGGGTTTTTTTTGGTTTGTTTTTTTTTTTTTTCCAAAAAGGGAAGGAAAGGTTTGGAAATTTTCAGTGTGCAAAGGAGGGTATTTTGCAGGAAGGGAGATGATTTCTTTTTATTCTGGAGTACTGGAAATGAAAAAAATCAACGTTCTGGAAGGAAGTTGAGGAAAGGAAAAATCTTGGGGAAGGAGAAATGGGAAAGGTGGAGGGAGGGGTGGGAAAAAGATGCCGTGAAGCACTGCACCCCTGGACTTACTGGCTGAGAAACAGAGAGAAAGCTGGGACTGCATGGACTCAGTCTGTGTTTTGCTCTCACTGTGCCTCCGTCCTTCAAGCACTGAGCTGCCGTCCCCGGTGGAGAGAGGGGGAGCTAGCATGGCAGGGAATTAAAACACAAACACAAACAAAACACGCAAGTTCAGTAAATAAAAAAAGAGAAAGGAAATAGGAGAACATTAAAGAAACCACAATGCTGGGCACAAAACATGCAGGAGTATCCTCCAGGGCAAAGCCAAGTAGACAGCTCTACAACACGGACCTGCTGTGCAATTTAAAATGGCACACGGGCGGGGGTGGGGGGTGGGGGGTGCTGCCTTTAGCCCCACCACAGTGGAAACAACATATCCCTGAGGCAACTGTCACTGATGGATCAAGACGATGTCTCCTACACCACAGCAGAACAGATTTGTGTAACCTGTTGTCTATTGAAAATAAGAAGTTGGCAGAGGAACTGCACAAGCACTTCCCTTTTCCCAGAGTCATGGCTATGTGGAATGCCAAGAACTCCAACACCCCCAAACCTTTTGGTCTATTTAGTTTTGCTTGAGTGCCTGCTTAGCTTAAAACATGGAGGAGCAGGAGCTGAAAACGAACACTGCTACACTTAAAACTGAAGCACTAAAATTACCAGAGCTGGACAGAGCACAAACCATTACTGTGCAAGCTCCTTCCCTCCCAACCACCATTCAAATGCTCTCTTTCTATTAAAATCATAACAAAATTTTCTAACCTCTGCCAAAAAAAAATCCCTTCAGTTTTGATCTGCAGCAATGTAGCCCTATACGATTCTTCATATATTTAGCCCTGGCCAGGTGCTCTCCTTCCCCCCCACTTTCTGTTCCAGTCCTAGCCTTCCTCTCCTCACAGCATTCGTATTCCTGACTTACTGGACCTGTTGGCTCAACTGGCTCAAGTCTAGGACCTCTCCTGAACAAAAGCTGCCAAAGGAGACAAGGTTCTGGACAAGTATCTGTTCTGGACGGATATCCAGTGGAGATTAGATAAATCAATTTCATTACCACACTACCAAAACCATCCAGTTCCCTTCCCTCAAAGCTAGGCTCTTAAACCACGGATTACTCTTTGGCAAAAAGGTGGGAGCTAGAATACTGTCCTGTAATGAGGTCAGGTCTTATCTGAAACAATCTGTATTCCAGAGCTCATTCACTCACTGGCATGTGTTTCTGCTCCCTGTGACTCCTCAGAAGAGGAGCCAGGAGCTTGTGATAAGCCACAGGAAAAGCATCAGGACCTAGCCCAGCTGACAGAGGTGACATTGCTGCTACACCACAGAGTCAGCATTGATTTTTGCCTGGATATGTAACTCTGACTACAGGGAGAATGAGAACACCTCTGCCTCAAAATGCAAACTATTAACACATTTGCCTCAGAATGCAAACTGCGTTCACCCATCCCGAACCTGTTCGTTCAGGAAAATGTCTGCTTGTCCTTCTTTAGGGAGGTCAGGAAAAGGACAGCTGCTCAAACAACATGAGCAGATATGGGACTTGGAGCTCCTTCATCTAAAGAGTTTTACAAGCACAGAATATTTATGATATGGTCACTGAAAGTGTGAAATCTCTCTTCAGCCTCTCCCTCTACTGGTATCTCAGTCAAGGACGTGAAAAATCATTTCCATTCAGAGATGACAGGCTGAGAATGATCTTCATCTTAGAAACAAAAATAGACCAAAGAGAAAAAAAAATAAAGAGGGAAGTGTGTGTACATCACTAAAGAGATTCCCAGGAAGGGGTGAGAAGGGAGACTGAGCAGTAACAGGTTTCAACTCTCTGTAACCTACAGGGAAGCACAAAAACGCAACCAGACTCCAAACCTCATGGGACTGGTAGGGATTTTCCAAGCCTAGAAATGGACTAGAGATGAACAGATTATGATATTTGCAAGAAAAGAATTCCAACTCTGAGACAAAACCAAATTAGCTCAGGGCAAAAGGTGTTTATATATCACAGAGGCCAAGTCAGCTGGTTTCCCAATGCATGGTCCCACTGTGACAGGAATGACAGCGTCGTGGTGAATTTATGAACTGAGTCAGACACAGAAATCTGGGAAGCTAGTTCAAGGCAGTGATCGAATCTCCAGGATCCCCTGCCTGCACTTAACTGTATTAGAAATTACAGGCAAAACACCTACCTTTCAGATCCTCATCTTCGGTTGTGGTGTTACAGCTCTCTGTGGAACCCTGCACGGCAGAACAGAGCATTACCAGGCATCAGCAGTTGGGAGCATGAGTGAATAGTTTGATTTGGTTGTGAAGGAAGATGGGGAAAAGCGCGAAAACATTGGCAGGGATGGCAGGGAGAGGATGATACGAGGAAGATTTGGATGGAAGCAGGCCAAATATTAAGCAAAACTTATCAGCATCGCTGCTCAGCTTCTGCACGTTTAAGCCATTCAAGCCATCCATCCAGAACTTTTACAAGGACAGAAGTTACCAAACTCTGTCAAATGAGATCAAATGGGAGTTGCTTCTGTTTGGAAGAAGAATAGTCACAAGAAGCTAAAGAAGGGCTCCTAGGCTTTCTCAGAGGAACAGGTCTCCATTTCCAGAAGAAAAAGTGCATAAGTGCCTGTATCTTCTCTTCCACCCCACATACAAAAGAGAGTGGTGATTACACACCGCAGTAGAAAGAGATGATAATAATTGAACAGTTGTCCCTGCTCAGCCTCTTCCCGAGATCCACAGCCATACAACACAACCCTCCCCGTCTACTGCCAGCAGTATTCAGGAGCATGCTACAAACCAGACATCGGAAAGGTAGAAACCGAAGTAAGACACATGAAGACAAGAACGGCAAGAGAGAAGCAGAGGTTTCTCTGGCAACACTCCCAATCCCTTACCTTTATGCCATCTGTAGCATTATGGACAACAGTTGTTTGAGGCTCCTAGGAAAGGATGGAAGAATCATTAAACTCCAGTTCTAAAGCATTCTCTCATTTCTTTTCACTCCCCAGCCAGTGGAAAAAAGGTGAACGACATTAAAAAAAAAAAAAAAAAAATCAAACCACAAACTCCAAACAGCACACGTGTGCTTGCGTGCGTGCGCACACACTTCCTGCACAGAAGGTTTCCTGAAGAGAGAGGCTGCACTAAAAGCTACAGTCACAAGGAGACAAAGCCCCCAGCTTCCCTGCAATTGCCCCTAATTCCCAATTTGCCTCCAGTGAACCAGGCTGGCACAAATGCCAGATGGCAACTGAGCAGCCAGGCTGCACCCTCTGCAGCCATTCACGAAGTAATGACCCCTCAGCAGCGTCCTCACTGGAAAATGCTTCAGAAGAGGGAGAGCGGGAGGAAAGGATAATACTGGGCTGGGGCCTTTGTCTCCCAGTTTTTTGGAAAGTTTGCTGGGCATTTTACCCTGAAAAAGGGACATTCATAATTTCCATAATAAAAAGGGGATAAGCCAGACCACCTCAATGCCTCTCAGAGAGGAGCTGCTAAGGGAACTGGGCTGTGAAAAAAGGCACATTCTTCTAAAAGTCTCTAAAATGAGATCCAATTTCAATAATAACAACAATATTTAATAATTTAGAAAGGCTCCTTCAGTATCAAAACCATAATGAACAAAGCCAGTGAAGGGAAAGCAGAAAATTATGAAGTGTCCCAAGAACCCTTTGCCCTACAACAAACAACAAAAAACATCAAATCCCACTCTCCCACTCCGCAAAAAATGCCAAATCCAGCTCTCCAGAGACACACAACAAAGAGCAGCTACCAGGCCTACGGGTGCTAACTAGCTCCTGCACTCATCCCTTCATTACCGGGACAAGACTTCAGGATCCTGCACCATCTCCTCCCACTGCTGTCACTCTTGCAGGGTGGCTCAGCGAGGGCAGCAGGGACTGTGACGGTGCAGTGATATACACTCACCCATCTGCCTCTGTCACCCATTGCACTGCTGCCTGATCTTCCAAGCATACTGAGGCAGACCACACCGAGCTGTGCCGTTATACGTACTAGGCACAGGGCACCCTGTGAAGCCTGCCGCACACAGCCCAAACAGAAAGTGCTAGCCCAGCAAGTCAGTGAGCTGCAGATGCTCAACCACACAACTGAGCAGGCCAAATAGGCCATCAAAGGATTCCTCTAAAAACCCTTTGCCTGCCCTTTCTTCTGTGGTGTCCTGAAGTCCATCCTCCATTTCCTGGGTGTTGGAGAGTGGATGGAGCTTGCCACTCTCTTCTTCCAAACCAGCCTCCCCAAAGCCAGCAGGAACAGTTGAACGGGACACACAGAACTATAAAGGGATGGCACAAGGGGAAGTCCAGGCAAGCTGCGATCCCCACATCCAACCACAGCTCTGCTCAGCACCCCCACCCCAAAGCCTGTGAGGCTGTGATCAGGCCCCACAGCAGCACAGGGACACAGACAGAACAAAGCCAAAACACAAGCTGAAACAGCAGCACAAGCAGCACTCAGGATGGGGGGGAAGGAGAGAAGGGGAGAGGACAGAATCGAAATTAAACCAAACAAGAAAAAAAAAAATAGCGGTTGGGGAAGATACCATGGACGTCTGCACTGGGGGTGTTTCTTTTGCAGTGCTTACTATACTGGTTTTGTTGTTGCTCTGTGGCTGAGACAGAAAAACATGGTTTTAGTTCCCCTGCTGGGCAGCAGAGGCAGCAAGAAAATGACAGTATTGCTTCAATCCCAACCATCTCTTCAGGCCCTCCCCTCCCCACAGGCTTGATCACCAGGAAGAGGGAGGAAGGAGTGCTGCCCGGATCGCTGGACATCATCCTTCCCTCAGAAGCAACAGATGTTGTAAGGGATGTATCAAAACCCAAACGTGCATGGACTGCTAGAGCCATAAGGAAGGAAAACAGAAGGGAAAAAGGCAGCAGCCCAAAGGGATGGGGAGAATCCTGCAATGAGCACCAACAAAAGTATTTGGTGAAGAAGAATGAGAGATGACAGCAGTCCCGAGAGAAAGAGACTACAGAAGTGAGACACACACAATAGTCACGGTGCAGTCTCAAACAGGGGACAAGTGGGAGTCGTGTCTGAGGAGTCCCAAAGTGTGCAGGAACAGTCTTAGATATGTGATGATGCAGAGGGTCCCAGGGAATCTACTGATGCAAGAAAAAGTGTGGTCAGCCCTAGAAAAAGTAGAGAAAAGGTGAGGTATGGTGTGTTGTGTCCCCACTGTGACCTGAACAAAGAGACTTCAGGACCAAAATACGGAAAGGGATGGGGGTAGGACGCAAGGAAAAGGCCACGTAGTTCCCCAAGTAGCAAGTCCTCTGGATGGTGCCCAGTAGTTTTTCATCTTTCCCCTCTTCAGTCTCTCTTGTAGCTGTGGTAGAAGAATAAAATCTCCATTTCCTGCATTCACATAGCACAACAGTGAGGCAGTCACCAGCTTGCTGCAAAGAAACGTCCTATTGAGTCATGTATGTCAGTTATGTCAGGAATGAGCAAAGTCTATGTTTGTAGGAAGACAAACCTGTGTCCACTAGTATATAGTCCCTAGCCCACAAATCTAGTCAGTTGTTGGAGAATTAGGCCCACAGCTACACTGCTGTGTAACCCTCACACCAGATATATAGCTCGCTCTCTGCCAGACACCAGCAACAATGTCAAAATCAGCACTGCAGGAGGCTCACTCAAACTCTTTTGTTTACAGATCAGGGGTACCAGATGGGAGCTCACAGTATGGAATCATAGAATGTCCCGAGTTGGAAGGGACCCACAAGAGTCATCGAGTCCAACTCCTGTCCCTGCATAGGACAACCCCAGAAATCACACCATATATCTGAGGGCGTTGTCCAAATGCTTCTTGAACATTGTCAGGCTTGGTGCCATGACTACCTCTGGGGGAGCCTGTTCCAGTGCTCCACCACCCTCTGGGTGAAGAGCCTTTACCTAATGTCCAACCTAAACCTCCCCTGGCATATCTTCCTGCCATTCCCTCAGGTTCTACCATTGGTCGCCAGGGAGAAGAGATCAGCGCCTGCCCCTCCTCTTCCCCTTGTGAGGAAGCTGTAGACTGCAATGAGGTCTCCCCTCAGTCTCCTCTTCTCCAGGCTGAACAGACCAAGTGACTTCAGTTGCTCCTTGTACAGCTTCCCCTCTAAACCCTTCACCATCTTTGTGGCTCTCCTCTGGACACTCCAGTAGCTTCACATCCTTTTTATACTGTGGCGCCCAAAACTGCACACAGCACTCAAGGTGAGGCCGCACCAGTGCAGAGTAGAGCGGGACAATCACCTCCTTCGACCGGCTAGCAATACAGTGCTTGATGCGCCCAAGGACAGGGCTGGCCCTCTTGGCTGCCAGAGCACACTGTTGGCTCATGTTCAACTTGCTGTCGACCAGAACCCCCAGATCCTCCTCCCCAGGGCTGCTCTCTAGCCTCTCATTCCCCAGTCTGTATGTACATCCAGGGTTGCCATGTCCCAGGTGCAAAATCCGGCACTTGCCCTTGTGAAACTTCATATGGTTGGTGATTGCCCAGCTCTCTAATTTGTCTACATCTCTCTGCAGGGCCTCTCTGCCCTCAAGAGTGTCAATGGCTCTTCCCAATTTTGTGTCATCAGCAAACTTAGATAGTAGTCCTCCAAGTCCTGCGTCCAAGTCATTTATGAAGACATTAAAGAACACTGGCCCTAAGATGGATCCTTGCGGAATCCCGCTAGTGACTGGTCACCAGCCCGACGTAACCCCATTTACTAGAACCCTTTGAGCCTGACCTGTCAGCCAATTGCTCACCCATTGCATTATGTGTTTACCTAGCTGTATGCTGGACATTTTGTCCAGGAGGATACTGTGAGAGACAGTATCGAAAGCTTTACTGAAATCCAAAAAGATTACATCAACTGGCTTCCCTTGGTCAACAACGTGGGTAACCTTGTCATAAAAAGAAATTAAGTTTGTTAAGCAGGACTATCCCCTCGTGAACCCGTGCTGGCTGGGACCAATGACTGCATTGTCTTTCAGGTGTTTTTCAGTAACTCCCAGAATAATCTCCATAATTTTGCCAGGCACAGACGTGAGACTGACAGTGTGACCTCATTGCAGAGGCTCTCCATCCCACTGTTCTTGGGGAGTACAAACTCATACTGCAAAACATCAGGCCCTCATCACGCAGTAACCACCACAAAGAATACAGAAGTCAAATGCTGAGCTGGAAAACATCTGCCAAAGGTTTAATTATGTCAACCAGACAGATCCTATGAGGTTGAGACTTCACACACACCTACTAATACTTCATTTTTTCTTCACAAGCAGCATGCCTTGGCTTAGTTATCCTTTTTGGAGAGGGAGAGAGTAGAAACAGAAGAGGAACATGGGGCAGGTGGAGAGGGGGAGAAGTAGAAGAGAGAGGCAGGAATGAATTCTTTAAAAGTCCATGGGAAAAAAAAAAGCATATGACGCACTCATGCCCAAAGCTAAGAAAGGAGAAACACTTCACAAATTACTCTTTACTGCCTCTTCCTATACATCTCCACATTGTCCTAAGACTTTGGCTTTCCAAGAGCTTTGCTTCCTGCATGTATTCCCAGCCAGACAGCAGAAGAGATGACAGGCTGCTGTGGATGTAAGACAGGAGCAGATCAACCTGAAAAAATGAATCCCAAACTATTTTGTGGCATAAACACAACCAAACTTCTGGCAAGGCCTGGGTCCACCCCTCCACAGAGCACTGAGGTTCCCGTACTTCTTCAGAAACAGTGATCCTAATGCAGAGATCTATCTTCCAAACCTCCTCCAGTGAGAAGAGCACAGCCTATTTTTCTTAGTCCACTGGGATAAGAAGATAAAGTTAGCATGAAAGAAGCTATACAAAAATACTTGCCATCCAGGAAGCCACTGTTCTGAAAAAAAAGTTGACAGCAGCTTGGTAGGTTTGGGACATCACCTTGCAAAGTGCAAACCCACGCACACCCAAAGCACACAGTCTACCCTCCAGGCTGCACTGAACACCCAGTTCATCCATCATACTCTTCCCCATCCAGTGGGCTGAAGAAGACCAAGTATCATGTTTGCTAGTCCAGAATCACATAGCATTTTACTCCAGGACAGAGTCCCAAGGAAGTAAGAGGCAGAAGACTTAGCCTAAGCAGTTTTCACAGCTCTTTCTCAGATGGAACCATCTGACGTACTGAGCTTCCCTCACACACTGGTGTCTTGTGGCCACCTAACCAACTGCCCTTCCCTGGAAAAGAAAGCCTGCCCTTCCAGAGCCCCAGGTACCACAGCCAACTCTTATCCCTCCTTCCCCTCCTACTGCCAGCCAACATCACGGTCACTGGGCAGGCTACAATCCTTGGTAATTCACAGCGGTACAGATCAAGTTAAAAGAGGCCAATTCACCTAAAAAGGTGCCAGGCCCTATGTAACACGATTAGTTTTGGCACAGCAGTTGGCAGTGCTTCCTGAGCTAGACAAGAGACAGACAGACAGGCACAAACAACACAGAGGGTGAAAGAGAAAGAAAACAGACCAGTGATCATATCGCTAGGGACACACATTTCTAGCCAACTAAAAGAAAATAGGTACCAACACATGGGCCATCTCTGGTTATTTAGCCACCTTCACTGCTTCCATGTTTTCTGAGGCTGACACTTACATGGTTTACATAACCCAGCTGCTTTAAAAAAACATGCAGAAGGAATTTAAGTATTGCTGGCAATGGACAGAAAAGGGCAAGAAAGGCACAACAAACTCCTGCCCTGGAGTTTCATAAAGGCAGGTGAAAAGTCAGTCTCTCATATCAGATTTTCCAAGCAGTACTTTGGGATTACTTTTTTGCATTTACATAGTTTTAAGCTGTCATTGAAAGAGGAAGAGGAGAAATATCTTCCAGACAGTAATGTAGAAACAAATTATTCTGCTTTCTCAGTACTATAACATTCCTGTTCCTACCTGCAATAGGGGAGAAATATTTTCTGTTCTTTTTCTATGTACAGGAGATAATGCAATAACTAATTTTTGTACTTTAGTTACTGTTCATATCTCAGTGTCAGAGACAAAGGCATCATCTAACGGTCTGTGTGTGACTCCTTACAATATGGCACTGGCCAATTTTCTCTTTGCTCCCTTGAGAGTGGATTTGACTACTTTTCTGTCAAATTCTATGGACGTCAAACATCTGGATGGATGAAAAAAAGGAAATGAACAGGACAGGGGAGGCAGTTACTGGGTGTTTGGTCATGCTGGGACACATAAACGAGATCAGGACAAAAGGAAGTTTTGGATTATAAAGGCTCTGACAAACCTTTTCAGTAAGTATGCTAAAAAAAGAAGTGACCAGCAGCTCTGAGCTGCCCGGCAGTGCTGTGCCCACACATTTCATCTGAACAGTGGAGCCCCATCAGCCTCTGCCACATTTGGAGCGACTCCCAGTTTGTTCTACACTGCAGGGCTCCCACCAAGGATGACGGCACCAACACCAGGCAAAGCACCTGCTCCTCTTTTTGGCACCTCTGCAACAGAACGACAAAGCCCCATGTCCAGGCAAGGCACGCACCTGCTCTGCTGAGCCCAGGAAAACCACTGCCTTTTTGCGTTCCACACTCAGAGCAGGCAAGGTCAAACTGCATTGCCAGCAGTTGATTTTCTGCACAAAAT